ATTCTTGTAGAGGAAATCAAGTAGATCATTTCTAGAAAAAACCCGAACTCGAATTTCAAATTCTTTCAAGAGAAAAAGAGCCGCGAAAAAATCCGCAATAATTATGCATCAACCTAATATGAGATGGAAGAGTAGGGTGACAAAAGGAGTGGTAAGTAAGTTATAGGGACCCATAAGCGGCACTACGATAAGCAGATCGGAATTCTGTTCACTTCTTGCTACTAGATTACGACCGCTACACAGCAAAGTTTGCGACTTGATGAAAAATCCTCATTGTTTGATATCATTTGCGGCAAAATTATCCGACCGCAAGTTATTTGGAACCCTTAACTAATGTTATCTCTGTGAAGTAAAAGGTTCATTGATAACATCTGATAATGGTGTTATCATTACACGAAATATTTGTAAGTACCGCCAAGGCTTTGGCTACCTAATACTTCAATCTTTATTGGGTATTTATCTTCAAGAACGAGAGCAAAAGATCGAGACTCCCGATTAATGAAATAAGTACCGACTTTCACTGAATACCAATACCCTGTTAGTTCTGTGTCAAACTTCGTGTACAGGAAAATATTATTTGCTTCGAAGAAGGGGTGGAGAGTTAGCCGATTACTACAACTTCGTCAAAGGAGGAGGGAAGCCCGGCGTCATCCGGGCAATCCGACTTTAATTATCATATAGAAAAAAATCGCTTCCCATTCGGAGCTAATACTTAGGATGTAGAGCTTCCAAAGAAAAAGGAGAATCCGAAGAGTCATTTACGCGTAGCTAATTTCTTACAGGAAAGAAGATGACACTATAAGAAGGAAGGAAGCCCGGCGTTAGCCGGGCGGCCCGACTGGTTGAATATAAATAAGATAGGCTGTTAAGGGAATTTAGGGTTAGGGAAAACATCTGGTATCGACCGATCCCGTTTAGGGATGCGATTACACTTCTAACGCCCATCTAGAACCTTGGTGGCGTTTGAGTTCCCATCTTTCCTTTACTTGACTTCTTACCAGTATACAAGTCAGTGCCTCCATCCTGCTACACAGACGGGTCCGATACCGACCAGACTCTTGATATGACCGATTGATCTGAACGAAGTTTGATCCAGGCATTGATTCAAGGCTTGTGTGCTCGGCAGAGGTATTTTCCCTTTTTTACCTAATGTGATGTGGAAAGGATAGAGAAAGTAGTTCAAAAGGTACCGATCTGAACGATAATGTGCTTTGAAAAAGGTGAAATGAGAAGGGCATATCATCGAATTAGCAAACGATCCGTCTCCTGTGATAGATGGGTGGTGTTTTTTCTCTGCATGGTATCTTTTTCGTAATGGTCGAGAGATCTAAACCCATGTCAACTAAACGATTCATGCTCCTGTGCACCTGTTGGTAGCAGGTTAATCTGGGAGAGTAGAATCACCCAAGGTTCCTTAGAGCCATACTATTGACCAAACTATGGAATTTTATGGACCCATTCAGAGGGCATTACAATTTTTATCAGGGCCTAAATGAGTGGGTATTTGCAAAGCGATCTGGAATGCGCCAGAAGCTTCCTTCACACTTTGTGACTTTCCAATCTCTACCCCCATTCTAGTAACTTCTTGTAATGATCACGTATGGGAAAGCTAATATTTTCAGAAAGGTTGTTTGGGAACCGGCTCCAAGTTGCATGGAAGATCCAAATGTGAAGAAGTTGGCTGAAAAGTATTCCAAAACTCCAGCTCAGGTACAGTTTACCTTGAAAAAAAATTCAAAAGTAGGCTTGCTATTTTTTCTGTTCAGATTTTGTTGCGTTATGTTATGGATCGAAACATCGCCGTAATACCGAAGTCTGTGCACTCTGAACGGATTGTTGAGAATTTCAAGGTATTCATTTAGCGATCTCGTTCAAAAATGAGGTAGCAGTAAGGAGCGCCGTTATTGTATACTCATTCGTGGATCATATCCTGCTCAGCCTATCCTAGCTCTCTTTCTATGTCAGTAGGTACTAGCTTGATTGAGAGGTTGAAGAACTATCAGACGCAACCACTGTTATTCTAGCTTTTTTTTCTCCAAACGAATGAAGCAGTCGAACGCTTATTGGCGAAAAAGGTGAAACGAAGAGAGCGTGGAAGGAAGTTAATCGAAACTAATTAGGGACAAACCTTCGAAGGTTCTAAACATTTTTCGAACCCCACGATTGATTTCATCTCAGACTTGATGGTTCGGATGTCATCAAAATTGACCACTCTAATTTTGCTAAATCATAGCCGGCTGATGTGGGGTCCCAAACCGAGCAAGTGCTTCTTGCTTCAAGGCTAACTGCAACTGCACCAGCTGCTTATGGTTGTGCCTGTGCTATACTTGGTTTACTTACTTATTGTCACTAGATTATTATTCTACAATTTGTGAAATTGGTTACCCCTGTGTCAGTTCTCCAGCTCTCGTCTTGCGCTACACTCAAGCTTTCTAAACCATTATTGCTAGTTTGCAATGCTCAGTTCTAGGTAAACTAGAATGACTAGAAGGTGGTTAGGTATCCTTTATAGATATCCTCGCCTTTGGCTTGTTATGGTAATTAGTTCTTTCAGTTTGAGTTTTTGTCTCCACGCATCATATTTATGTTTTTGACGGCATGTCGAATGACGTACTAAACAATAAACGATAAACAATAGACAATAAATAGCAAAGAAGTTGGTTTTTCGTGAGGTTTAGCTGAAAAAGTCCAATGGGTGGTCATTCCAATATCTACCCCTATCACAAGCGGGACGAGTGCATGGCACATTCTCGAGTATTTGCCAAAACTACTTTGAACCATGAGGGTTTTCAGTAACTCCATTTATCGTTATATTCTCTTTTGTTACAGTTATTCGATTTCACACTGACTGCCGAGGACATAAAGCTTCTTGAATCATCCAAGCACCGCCAGAGGCTTTTCCTTCATGATTAGTGAGTTATTGTAAC